ATCTTAGATATCACTACAGCTGTTCCGGCAGAGTGCCTTTCTCACTATTTTTGGTATGCGTTTACACTTTATAGTCTTTAATGAAATTGGTTGATGAGGGAGAACTGTTTGTCTCAAGTTGGTCATTTAGAATTATATCTGTGTTTTTTAATTTGTTAATTTCCATAGATTCTAACAAAGATAGCTGAAGGCCTTTATTTTGAATGTGAAGAATTTAAAATTCATCATGAAAAGAATGATTATGATCTAGAAGGTAAAGTGCGTATGTAGATTCTGCTTTTCTATTATTGTTAGCCCTTTTATGTTCTTCTATTCGTTTATTAAAATTTCTACCAGTTTGACCGATGTCAGTTTTTGAGAAGTCGCTTTGTTGTTTGTTCTAAAAGCTGGTGTTATTCCTTTCTGTTTTATATGTTTGGTTATTTTTGTTGATATTTTGCGTGTATATGTAATCGAGCAGAAGGTACTGGGTTTTTGTCTCTGGTGGTGGAAATACTAATTTTAGGGCTTTTTTGTGTAGTTTTTGATTTAAAATTTATGTAACTGATTGTTCGTTGTATCCATTGTTTACTGCTATTTGCTTAATGATATTTAATTCTATCTCAAAGTTGTATTTTGACATCGGAATTTCTGTTAATCTATGTAACATACTATGATAGGTTGCCAGTTTATATTGTGTGGGATGGGATGATGAATTGTGCATAGTCGTATCAGTATGGGTAGGTTTATGAAATATGGAGAAGTCATGTTTGCTTTTACGTCTGATAATTTTTTAATTTAAAAAATTTATGGATTAATTTTGTTCTGTTTCTATTGTAAATTCAATATGGCTATGAAGTTAATTAATATACAAAATTTTCGGGTTACCTCTTATGAAACATACCAGTACATCATCTACGTGTCTCCACCAATATAAAACCTGCTTGAATATGGGATGTTTTGAAATCTTTGTCTCTAGATGATCCATAAAATATCTGATAGCAATGGACTTAGAGAATTGCCCATTATAAGTCCTGCACTGCTATTTGTATATATTTAATTATTAAATTCAAAGTAGTCCTGGTTTATGCAAATTTCAAGAAGATGTAAAATTTTAGATGTAATAATTGGATTTGTAATATTATGATCTAAAAGGTTTTTTACTAGAATAAAAGTTTCTGTAGTAGGAATACTAGGAAAAAAAGTTTTTACGTCAAATGTAATTAATCCGGAGATGTTAGGTTGTTAGGTAATTTAAAATGTTGTATTTTAATAACTAGTTCTATTGTTTTATTTTATGGTAAATTTAGATGAAAATTTAGTGTGTTCTAAAATAATATCTAACAGTTTTTTTGAAAGTTTTTATGACGATTCTGTAAAAAAAGAAACTACAGGTCTTATTGGGTGATGTAGTTTAATAAAAGAGTATAATTTAGGAGGCTGTGGGTTCATGATATTGAGGTATTTCTGTTCTGTTAGTAACTAGTCAATGGTGAATTTTGAATTTTTAAACGCTAGCTTAATTTGTTTTTGATACTTTTCTGTCGGATCTTTGTGTACCGTGGCACTCTTTTTGTTTGAAGTGACCGGCAATATTGAATGTCAGTTGCGCACGCGAAATAATGTTAAATAATATTTGTATCAACTCCATGGTAAAAATTCGATATCTTTTGATCAGAGTGTCCTGTCGACAAAAATCAAAGTTGCCTTATAAAGGCGAAGAGTGTATCTCTCGTATAAAAGTTTTGTATTTTACCGCAAATGAAGTCAATTTCTATAAATATATTCAATAAATAAACGTAAAAATAAAATTTTACATTACAAACGATCGCACGTCACGGGAAAAACCTCCAAGAAGATAGTTTTGGATGTAGTTTTTAGCAGACAATGGGCAGTTTTTAAAAACGAACTAGTGTAATTAAAAAAAAACAGTTTTAATCGTTTGTAATGTAAAAATTTAATTTCATGGTTTTTTAAGCAAATTTCAAATTCCTGACATTTGTTACCAAAACTCAAAACTAAAATTTCATGCTATAAGTTTTGAAGATTAGACCCTAGTTATCAAAACTTCATAGTGGCTGCTCAATGAAAGGTATAAATTATATTGATATTATAAGAATCAGAAAATGGCAAAATCGCGTCATGTTTATTTATTTAACACCTTCATAAATACTGAGTCTATTGACTAAAACTAAAACAATACAATACTAACAAAAACAATACTAAAAGATATTAAATTTTTACCGTCGAGCTGATACTAATTTTATTGAACATTGATTTTGCGCGCATAACTGACATTCAAAATTACCGATCGTTTCAAGCGTTGTTTCAGAATTCCATATTCAAATTTATAACAGTCTCGATATCTGCGATTTAAATCTTTAATAACACGAAAATTAATATTTTTTTTATTATTATTATTATAATATTTAATTTAGTATGTGCACTTTAGTGCATTAAAGCCCTTCCCCCTTTTAAATTCAATGTTTGTTTCGTCCCTTCTAAGTGTTTTCTGTTTTAGTATGTTTAAATTGTCCTTAATTGTTTGTATTTTAATATTTTATTTACTTGACTTTCCAATAATTTACTAATTGCCAATAGAACTTTATCAAAGTAATTTGATAACTACAAATTGGAAAATAATTGCACACCCACACAATTTTTACATCTAAACTTATTCATTGTCATAAAACTGTCACCTTCATAAAACAATTACTCAACATTCAACAATACATAGTAGTTTCAACCATGTTCTACCATCCATCAATTAATAGAGTACTGGCATGTAAGTAATGTTTATTTTATTTATTTGCTCATTTATTAATTTATTACAATCGAAGAGACTATTTTATAAAAATTTGTGGGCCTTACCTTGTCTGTTTAAACTTTTAAAACTTTTATACTTTTTATTCAAATTACTCATTAAAATAAAACCACAGACATGTAATATTGGCATAATTATTGTAATTTACAAACCCTACTTTGTTTATCGTTATTAGATAACACCCTAATATGGGTTTTTATTATTTCAGCATTTGTTTAACTTTGTATCGAGACCTGAGGATGCTTTGCATATTGTAGAAAGTGAAACCGGTCGTCTGATAGTTAAATTAAATTGATTGTGAGTAAGTCTTATTTATTATTTCTTTACCTATTTGAAATAGACTCACACAAGCAACACATTCATGATATTTATAATATTTACAAAAATTCCACTATGTCTGTTAAGATACACGATAAAACCCGATCAATAAAAATAAAACGTGGGATAAGGCAAGGAGATACATTGTCACCGAAATTATTCATAACGGCATTAGAGTATGCCTTTAAAATTGTCAAATGGGACCACACAGGAGAAACAATATACGGCAAAAAACTTAACCATCTCCGTTTCGCAGTGTCCTTATCACAGATGATTTAGGAGAAGCCACAGATATGTTAAATGAATTGGACTTTGCATGTTCGAAGGTGGGCCTCAGGATGAACTTGTCCAAAACTAGTTTAGGACAAATGTGGTCCCCAATAACCATTTAACTATTCAAAACAAAGTGGTAGAACTGGTGGAGAAATATGCGCATTTGGGTCATGAAATAAGAATCAGCAGGGATAGCCAAACATGCGAACTCCAAAGATGAATTACTTTAGCGTGGGCAGCCTTTGGAAAACTGCGAGACACACTTAGGACCAATAAAACAGTTAGCCTCAAAGTATTTGACCAATGCGTATTACCGATCATGACCTCTTTCTTCTTTTTAGCCTTCTGTCGTCCATGTTTGGACATAGGCCTCTCCCAACTCCTTTTATCGGTCTCTATCCTGAGCAACATATTTCCAATTTGTTCCGGCTATTGGAATGGAACGATGCTGGGAGTGACGTTGCGGGACCGAATAAGAAACGAAGATCTGCGAAGACGGACGAGTATTGCTGGTGTTGTGCAACGCGTAGCGGAACTTGGAATTGGGCAGGCCATGTAGCAAGAATGCATGACTCACGATGGACAAGTAAAATTACACATTGGAGGCCAAGAGCAGACAAACGTAGTAGAGGAAAACCACCTACACGTTGGGCTGACGACATCAATCGTATCACCAAAAATTGACAACAAAGAGCACAAAATCGCAAAGAATGGAGGAGTTTAAGGGAGGCCTATGTCCAGCAGTGGACGTGATAAATGAAGGCTGGATGATGATGATGATGATGAAAGTTTACGCATAATAACGTTGTAGATAAAAGCTTTCTGGGCGTTAAACCATTAATAAATTAAACAAATTTTGTTTTTTAAAATTTTAAAAACAAAATTTGTTCAATTTATTAATGTTTGTATTTTTAAAATGATTTTCGAAGTGAAAATTGAAACGTCAATAAACCTAATTTAACCTTCATTTGTTTCTTATTCCTATTTAAATAGTAATTACTTTAAAATGCCACAAGAAAATAGCTTCAGAACAATATTTAGGATTTAAAATCAAATAGTGATTTATTTATTATTGATTACATAGTTTATTACATTATTGATTTACAGTTTATAAAGTAAAAAAATGACGTTTAGTATTTTGCATAGTTTGTTTAATACATATTGTTATCACCAAATTTATCAAAAGCAATTGTTAGATACCTTTATCAAAGAGTGTCACGAAAAAGGCTTTTTATTTGTTAATTTATCTGATCTATACGTAGGTTAATTATATTACTTCTATTTAAAATGAATTATAAATGTCATATTTATTTAAAAAAAATTGATCTCCTTTCAACGTAACTCTACGCATTAAATTATGAATAAATTTTATAAAACAAAACAATAAACGTTAATACGTTCTCAGAAACAATTAACATAAAAAATTCAGCCGATAATCTAGATACCTTACCATATAAGTTAAATACATCCCACGCCGTTTAACCAAGAGAGTAATACCGACAGGTTCATTTTCTAATGTTAATAACAACCACGTGGGAATTGTTTTAACAAAATAGTCGATATTGTACATTTTTGTGTAGGTTAAAATCAATAATATATGTTACAGGTCCCAGAGCACCTTGGGTAGATTTAGTAAATCAACATCCCGCTTAGTGAACGGTCAGCACCACACAGACGAAAGAAATTCGCAAACACTGCCGCGTCATCTGCCGAAACAAGAAGCCCCTCCAAGACCGTTAACGAACAGATCAAACAGTACTATTAACGTTTCGATCATCAACACAGTGTCATCTCCTAGGAAGCTGGATGGTCCTGTCAAACCACAGCGCACGTTTAAATCAAATCTGTCTAGAAGCAAGAGTTTAAACGTACACGGAGGTATGTACGCGTCAAATCCGGCACTCAATCAACCAGTGGGGCTCAAAAGTCCTGGATTAATTTCAAGTCTTAACCGAAGCCACAAAGATATCAGTGAAGAATCTTACACTAGCCGTTTTGCCCGAAACGGTATAAGTGACCATAGTGAAAATAAAAAAGTGTTTCTATCTTCCCTTAAAGACAGGGCTCCAGAGCTCTTTAAAACCCTAGAAGAAAACGAAAGCTATAAAAATGGCAGAAGCTACAATGGGGATATTTACGAGCCTCCAACTAGACTACGAGATACTAAGATAGTAAGTTCTACTCCAAATCACTCTGTATACCGTAGAGGTAGTGCATCCAGTACAGATTTTTCGGAAACTTATCACACTACTACAAGAAGTGACGACCCGCACAATCCATCGGTAACAAACACTACAAAGAGTTTCAGTAGAAGAACTATACCATCTCACAATGGAAGAGGTATGGAAACTATACAGTCCAGTGAGACTAAAATTACTAAAAGTAGCCATTATAGAGGAGGCCACGAGCCGGCCAAGAAATACCATGAAGATAGATGGTATAATAGTTCTGGGTCAAAACCGGTCGTAATCGAGGTTAGAAATTATAATTAGTGTCTTTTGTGCCTATAATTATTTTAACTTTATTTTTAAAGTGTAACTTATAATTTTGTTTATTTTATCTCATTAAACGATATCTAGATTTTAACAATAATAAACTTGTTAATACAATTGATGCAGTTCTTTATTTTCCCTTTGTTGTTTATGATATTATTGTACTGACGTATTATTTTTGTAGGGTATAGGTAAGTGTATTATGGTATAAGGTTTAAAATGTCTTCCACTCTTTTCGTATGTCCATGTCATCCCTCTTCTCTCCAATATATTTCCGTTTACTTTATCCTATGTCTGTCTTGGTCTTCCTATTTTTTTGTTTTTCAATATTGTTACTTCACAAAACTTTCTCACTGTTATGGTACATTTTTAATCCAATGTAAATGTCCTCACTAACTCAGCTTTGGCTGTTCCATAAACTTCAATGTGAATTATATTTTCAGTTCGTTCCCTATATATATATATATGTGTTCCTTATTCTATCCAGATTGGTAACCCCTTTTAACTTTGCGTAAGAACTTTATCTTTATAACCTATATTATCCTTTTTTTTGCCGTTCAGTTAATACCCATGATTCGCTGCCAAAAGTCAGAACAGGTCCTATACACTGTTTTAAAAACCTTCATCTTTGTATTCCGCATATGAATTTTTTATTCATTATATAATATAGTTGTAGCATTTCCTCTACTCTACTCTTGATTTCTGCTTCTAGAGATGTAAAAATTTTAACTTTTAATTTTCGTTCCTTTAATTTCTGTATTAAATTCTTCCCTTGTTTTCATATCTGCATATTTTTTGTTTTGTCCTTTTTATATTTCCAAATTATTCTAAAGTTCTATTTCAGTTTTTGCAATTAGTGCTAATACTCCTTCCCAGATTTCTTTGCATTTTTATATCCTACATTTCGTTTTTTACTTCTTTTGTGCATTTCTTAATAATTTTGTTCATTAACATTGTAAATGGTGTTTGTAATTTTCTTGATGCATTATTGTAATCTTCTCCTGAGATGGTAATGCCATCAGCAAAAGTAGCAATTGTGTTGTTTTCTAAAATAAAAATGTCGCTTGTGTATATAAGGTACAGTACCGGGCCAAGTACACTTCCTTGTGGCACTGCTGCTTTGATTTCTTTGATGTTTGAATATATATATATATATATATATATATATATATATATATATATATATATATATATACCCGGTATTTAGGCGGCACACGCCCTTCCGGTAGGGATCTATGGAGGAGTATCACCGAGCCGCAAGCCCTTATCTCTTGCCGTACACCAGCATATTCTAGTCTAAGCCGCAGATTCATTTAGAATTTTAAACTGCTGCGTTAGCCTTTTGTTTTCTGTACACAGAGCTGGGATCACTCGCAGTAAAGCGAATGAGGAACCGGCCGCCAAAGCCCGCTTGGCTATCTGACCTATGTTTGAATATGCATATTTTTATTTTATTCGAAATACTTTCTCTTTAATATACGATTCTAATAACAGTGATAATTGTTTTGGTAGTGTTACTTCCAATTTTTGCACAAGCTCTTCAAACCATACCCTGTCAAACGTTTCTATATCCAGGAAGATGATAGAGCATATTTTTTCTCTTCTATTACTTTTTCTTAAATCAGTTATTCGATGGAACTGATCCATAGTTGAGTGCTTTTTTCTAAATCCAAATTGATAAATTGGTATAAATTTCCTTTCTTCTATGATAGGTTTTATTCTTTTAAGTAGTATTTTTTCTATAATATTAAAATAATTGCTAATAAAGAGATAGGTCTAAAGATGTGACTTCATGTGGCAGTTTGCCTGGCTTTAGAATAATAATCATTTCTGCTACTTTTCACATGCTAGGTACGTATTTTAACCTAAATGTAGCATTAAATAGATGTGTAGGTTTAATTATGGCCTTTTTTGGTAATTGCTTTACTGTATCTCCTGTTATCAGGTCAAACTCGAGGACTTCTTTAGGATTTAAATTTTCTCTCTCTCTTAATTCTGTTGCAATCTTGCGAATTAGTAAATTTAAATTTAATGTCTTCTAGATTACATTCTATTCTATTAGATAAAGGCTCACCTTCGTTTGGTTAAACAGTTTTTTCTAGATGCTTAGCAAATCTATTGCGTGTCCAACTCCTATCACTTTTCCTGATAGGTGGATTATGTGTTATTGGTCTTTTGAGACTTCTTGTGGCTTACCATAAAGAAAAGGCAGTGCTGTTATCAGCTGTCAGCTGACTTAGATAAATACTAATTGTCTCATTTTTGATTCGGTGTGTCTCTATTTTTAATTATTGGCTACCGTTGGTGAATAAAATTTTATCTGCAGGGACCTTTTTTTTTCGATATTAATGTCCCAATTTTTTTAGGATATGTGTATCTCTACTTCCTCATCTAACTGTTCTCTTATTCGTACTGAAACTGACAGATTAATAAAATGTTCCAGCGGAAATCTGAAACTTTGCCAATCAGTTCTTTTGTTAATTAGTCTAGGTGGATATTTTCTTTTTGTATTATGTAATCTTAATCTTAAATTTTTTGCTTTAACAATAACTGTACTAGCTTAGATTGTACCATTACAATATTCCATTTCTTAATGATGTTTTATGTTTTTAATTATATGTCTAAAGACTATTAAAAGACCCAACTATGTCTTTAATGATAATCCTACTTTCTCCTCTCGCTGCGTTATTAGAATAGTTATTATGGGATATTGCATATCACCGTAATTTAACGAATGATTTCTTAGTGAAGTGAGTCTCAGCTATTAAGCATATATGAAATTGTTCTGTGTCTAGGACAGCTTGTAACTCATGTTGATGATTAAGCAGTCCAGTAGTCTTCCATCGTAAATGTAAGATGATTAGCCATTTTTCTGCTTTGGAATGGCTCGCTTGGTACCATATTCCAGTTTATGGAGTCGCTCCTCCATCTTATTCAGTTTATCAGGAATAAGCTCTAGGGTTTGCTCAGTGGTTGTTTATTTACTTGATTTACTATTCGTTACTTTATTTGTACTGGCTATATTTTTCTAACTGGGTATCTTTTCTCAAATGTTCAGTATTCGATTGGTTTTTCCTGTTGGATTGTTTAGGTAAACTAGGTTTTTTCAACATATTTTCAACATTTCTTTAGCAACAATACAACCTCTGTAATTTACAGGATTGTTCTTGCCACAGTTTACACATTTTGGTTTAATATCTATTTTATTTTTTTCATAAATAAGTAAGATGTTTACCTGTACGTTTGGCACACAGTGGTTTTTGTGTACAGTAAGATTGAGTATGATCGAAAGCCTGACAGCACTTACACTCTGGAACTAGTTTTGATTTTTTAGTCGGCTCTATTTCTACTGTACTTCTCGAAATAGTTTTGATTTTGAACTTCTTCTTCTTAACGTGCCCTATCAAGTCCCCTTGACGTTGGCGATTAACATGGCGAAACTGTCTCTGTCTCGAGCTATTCTAAATTTCTAGCTGTCTAGCTTTCTTTATTCCTGTCCACTCCCCCACATTCTTCAACCAAGAGGCCTGCTTTCTACCAATTCCTCTGCGTCGTTCGATTTTACCCATCATAATAAGTTGAAGAATATTATATCGATCTCCCCTTACTACGTCTCCAAAATGGGGCACCTTTTTACATTTGATGTTATCAAGCAGCTCGCGAGCAGCATTTGCTCTCTCAAGGTCTGCCACATTTGTCAGCATAGCCGTCCATGGAATTTTTAGTGTACGTCTGTGCAGCCACATTTCAAAGGCCCCCAGACGATTAACGGTGAATATTTTTAATGACCATGCTTCAACACCGTATAAAAAGACTGACCAAATGTAGCATTTAACCATGCGCTTTCGAAGTTGAAGTTGCAAGTTATCATTACAGAAGAATGACCTCATTTTTAAAAATGTCGTGCGGGCTATCTCGATTCTACATTTTATTTCTTGATCTGGATTTAGTTGTTCAGTAATATGGCAACCAAGATATTTAAAACTGGACACTCTTTGAATTATATGACCATCAACATATAATCGTGCATCTTGATGTGCTAAACGGCTAAACACCATGTGTTTTGTTTTTGAACAGTTTACGTTTAGGCCAAACTCTCTTCCCACTGTATCAATGGCATTTAAAAGGCATTGTAGTCCATTCATGTCATCACTTAAAATAACTGTATCGTCTGCAAATCTGATTGTATATATCAGAATTCCATTAACTTTCACGCCCCATTCCAAATTATGCAGCGCTTCTTTAAATATTATATCTGAACATAAATTAAATAACAGTGGGGATAGTATACAACCCTGTCTGACACCTCTTTGTATTTTACATATTTCTGTTGATTTTCCGTTTATGCAAGCTGTCGCTGTTTGACGCCAGTATAACTTTTCTATGAATCGTATGTCTTGACCATCAACTCCTTTATCTTTTAATATTGTAATTAATTTGTGATGCTGTACTTGATCAAAGGCCTTTTCATAGTCAATAAATACAGCAAAGACGTATTTTCTTTGATCTCGACATTTCTGAAGTAATACATTTAGTGCAAAGAGGGCGTCCCGAGTTCCCAGTCCCTTTCTGAAGCCAAATTGTGTTTCATCCTGATCTTCTTCACCTGATTTTGAACACTTTGTTTATATTTTCTTCGTGCTATAATGTCAGAATATGTGTATGTAATGACTTCTTGGTTTTCCATTTTAGTTTATTCACCACCCCAATGGTTTTGTATCCCCTTACCTGAAGATCATTAATAATATTTTCGGATTGGCACTTATCATGCAGTCTTTTAATAACACTGAAATTATTTTCAGTCACTAATTAATTTGGTTGCCTTTCTGTAGTAAAACAGAAGTTATAGTTACCATCTGTAACATTTATTTTTATGGCATTTTTATTAAGAAGTTTATTCTGAGAGTTGATTTCTTCCTTTGTTATGAAAGTCAGAATATTTTTTACATTCTACACAACTACTGGAGATGATAGCAGTTTCTTTTTATTAAAAATGTTATTTTCACTTTTAAATTCTGAATGGTTTTATACGAGTGACAGCAAAGTGTATATTCGGTACTTTTTATTATCACCCTAATATATCTCCTGTTTCCTTTGGCTAACTTATTTTCGTCT